CATAAACAATTCCTGTGATTGAAAGGGTAATGCTAAACTAGCTTCATAGGTTTATTCGTCTCCGGAAGATATAGATAAGCAGAAAAGCTTTCAGCCAAGTTTCACATAAAAGGGATGTGAGAGAGAGAGCAAGAAGAAAAGAGGGGAAAAGTGGTCCCTTGTACTCCTGCAGTCGAACCCTATAGCAGCATAGCTATAGAGATAGCTGGGGATAACCTGAGCCACTCACACTATCAGCTTTATCAAAAAGGACATTTTGAATTCTTATTTTCAAAGAAGACAGAGTGTCTGCATCACAGACTAAAACTGGTAGATGGTTCTACAGGAGACCGACTGCGGTTCAAGAAGAGAAACTCAGATATAGAGGAGGAACATAGAAGCACTGATCCATAAACACTTCCTATGTTTCAAAGGGTAATGCTAAACTAGCTTAATAGGTTTATCTGTCTCGGGAAGAAATAGATAAGCAGACAAGCTTTCAGCCAAGTTTCACGTCAGAGGGATGAGAGTGAGCACAAGAAGAGAAGAGGGGAAAAGTGGTCCCTTGTACTCCTGCAGTCGAACCCTATATCAGCATAGCTATAGAGATAGCTGGGGATAACCTGAGCCACTCAATTAGCTTTTTTAAAAAGGAAAGTTCTAATTGTAATTCTAAAAGTAGACAGGGTGTCTGTATCACAGACTAAGGCCCCGTCCACACGAAGCCAAACCCTGGCCAAAACGCACACATTTTTCACTAAACCAAACTGGTAGATGGTTCTACAGGAGGCTGGCCGTGATTCATGAGAGAAACCTAGATATAGAGGAGGAACATAGAAGCACTGATCCATAAACATTTCCTATGTTTGAAAGGGTAATGCTAAACTAGCTTCATAGGTTATTCCGTCTTGGAGAAGAAATAGATAAGCAGAAAAGCTTTCAGCCAAGTTTCACATAAAAGGGATGTGAGAGAGAGAGCAAGAAGAGAAGAGGGGAAAAGTGGTCCCTTGTACTCCTGCAGTCGAACCCTATAGCAGCATAGCTATAGAGATGGCTGAGGATAACCTGAGCCACCCTATCAGCTTTATCAAAAAGGAAAGTTTTAATTGTAATTCTAAAAGTAGACACTGGCCGTGATTCAAGGAGAGAAACTGAGATATAGAGGAGGAACATAGAAGCACTTATCCATAAGCATTTGAAAGGATACTGGTAAACTAGCTTCATTCTATCAGGGGAAGAAATAGAAAAGCAGAAAAGCTCTCAGCCAAGTTTCACATCAAAGGGATGAGAGAGCACTAGAAGNCTCTCAGCCAAGTTTCACATCAAAGGGATGAGAGAGAGCACGAGAAGAGGAGCGAGGAAAAGTGGTCGCTGTGTCCTCCTGCAGTCTAAGCCTATAGCAGCATAGCTATAGCTGATGATAATCTGAGCCACTCTGTCTGAATCACACACTAAAACTGGTAGATGGTTGTACAGGAGAGGAGTTTGATAAATGATGCTTGGATGCTCTCATTTCATCAGGAAATAAATGAGAGTTTTATTTCCAGCTATCCTAACTTCTTTTGCCCCACACTGCCTGCACTCTCCTCTCCACTGGAAGGTTCAGCCCCAGGTTCTCCACCTGACTCCTTCTCCTCCTCTGGTTGCCTCCATGTTTAAACACATTTTCTCTGCTCCAAATGTCCGGTTGGAGACATTTGAATGTAAATGAGGTGTTTTGCTGCCTTGCTCCAGTGGAGGCTAGCTGACTGACAGCTACAGGAAGTGGGAGCAGAGGAAGAGGAGGAGAAGGAGGAGGAGTCTGTTTGTTGACATCGGGACGAAAGCGAAAATCAGATGAGTGAGAACTGAAAACATTTTAATTTCATCCGTCATCAGGACACGAAGCTCAGGTAGGCTCCTCTGCCCAGCCGCCAGACTCCGGAGCCGGTGTGTGCCGCGGTCCGGTCCCGCTGAGCGGCTGTGATCTAGCTCAGCTGTCCCGGCCGGTTCTGTTAGCTTCCTGCTAAGTTTGGCTAGTCTCAGAGCAGGAAAGTCAGCGCTAACTAGCAGCTAATTCCCCAGTGAGCTGATCTGGGGTCAGAATGAAGCAGAGGTGACCTTTAACCTTTGATAACATCACTTATTGCAGTTTGTCCGGTTCGGTTCTGCTGTTTCAGGGGAGAGTTTGGGCTTGTCAGCAGCTAACAGCAGCTACTGCAGCTAACCTGCTGCTAACAGTTCAGCTCAGTGATCAGAACAGACCGAACCGGGTCACAGAACTCCTCAGATGGTTCAGCTTTATTACATGATGGGTTTATTTAATATTTATCGGTATTTCATTTTATTTTTTAACTCTGAAACCAGATTAAGCTTGAAAAGAAGCCGATTTAAGGTGAATCATGGATGTGAACACTTTAATGACAGATCGGTTTTTTACATCCAAGTGGTAAACTTTTAGCAGAATCTGTGTTTGGATGAAAGTTTCTGAACATTAATGATAAATGTGACGCAACAAGAGATCATTGCAACAGAACCGAGCGAAGAGTTTAAAGTTTTATCTGGATCATATGTGAGAAATAATCAAAAAGGCTCTAAACACTGAAGAGGAAGGAAGAGAAAATATTTTTCAGAAGCTTTTCTCAGTTTTTCCTCTTTAGACACAGTTACAGCTCAGTCAGATCACATGGAAAACATCTGTAAACATCAGCTTTTCAGTCTCTACTCAGGTTCTCAGTTGGGTTTAGGTCCGGGCTTTGACTAGGCCATCCGTCCATATCTCAATCTGGATCTTCAGGTTGGTTCTCCTGCTGGAAAGTGAAATCCATCAATTTTCCGTCACAATGATCCCAAGCAGTGCTGGTGTCTATCTCCAGCTGTCTACGAGCGAGGCGGGTCCACCCTGGACAGGTCAACAGTCCATCGCACGGCAACACCGAGACAAACAACCATTCACGCACACCTAAGGAGAATGCGGAGAATCCAATTAACCCAGCGGGCGGCAACCCAAAATGCTCAAAGAGC